CCACCCAGGTCGCCGGGCCGACGTTACGCTGGAACTCCAATGCATACCGCTCCAGCATGGGGACGAGCTCGCGGATGGGGAAAATGGTCTCGGACATCCGCAGGCGACTGCCGAGGCTGCGGACTTTGTCGATCACCGATTCGTAAGGTTGCGGTGAGCCGCGTTGAACGGTGGCGTCATGGACCCCCTGGATCAGGTGTTGCCAAGTTGACTTGACGTCGGCCGCATTGCGATGGTCGGCTTGATAGAAAATTTGGAGACAGATGTCGTGGTAACTGGCAGAGTCGGCGTATTTGTTGAATAGCTGGAACCATGTTAGTGTCGTGTTTGAATCTGATTCGCAGGGTAAATTAGGACTTACTGTACTAATATCCATCACTGGTCCATCGACCTCGCGCAGTATCTCGGGTTTCCGCTCGGGAAGAATCCGCTCGTCATCCTTGAGTCTTTGAAGTAGATCGTCCTGAATATTGGCCACGTCAATGAGGTTCGAAATCTCCTGCAGCAGTCGCTGCCTTGACTGACGCCCGACGTCCGGTGTGAAAATCGAAGCGTTGGCACGGGCTTGACCAAGGTACTCAATACGACGACTCAATGGCAGCACGAAAGCGCTATTGGCCAGGTGGAACTGAACCTGTGCAGTCTCGAAGAATCGTTGGGACTGGGCATAGAACCGCCAAAGTAGATCAGCATGGCCCAGATCATCGTTCGATTTGCGCTGGAGGTAGGTGGCCACAAATGGCGATTGGGTCTGCAGCAACCGATCGTTCCAGCCCTGTTCAAGATACCAGTCGTACAGGCTCGTCAGGAACACCTCATCAGTGGAATCGGAGATCACGCCATAGGCCTCGTTCTGGCGTTTGGCAATAGTGGTCAGCTGGCCATCAATCAGACCAGGATCAGATGCAGCCAATTTGTCAACCGCAAGCACGACTTTGAAGATGAGATCGTAGCACTGCTTGCGGAAATAGAAGTACTCCTTGCGGGGGTCCTGGGTAGTTGTGAGCGTGAGCTGGCGCTGGGATCCATAGGGAATAAGGGGGATAAGCACCTGTTCGGGACGCTGATCCATGATCCAGGAATAGGCAAGGTTGGACTTGTCGGACCGAGCAGCAACGTTGAGGGCAAGCTGGATAGCACCTAGAGAAAGAAGAAAAAGAAACCATCAGTATGAGACAACAAAGACCACGATCGCACAGCATACCTGCAAAGAACTGATTGACAATGAAATTGTCCACAGCAGAAACTAGATAATCCATAGGTAGGCATTCTGCTACCTGTTGGAAGAGATGCAGACTCTCATTCAGCAAGTTGCGGCCGAGTTCCGTATTGGCACCGGCCTCAGTCGCACGTTTCAGCATCTCTTGTGCCTTGAAAATCACCACATCCTCCGTACTGCAGAAACTGCCACATCGTCGTCGAAGTGCATCAGCCACGGTCTCGACATTGGAGCCCTTGGCGATGTTGCGGTTAACAATGCCCTTCACGAGTTCCTTGGCAATGTCATGTCCCTTGCTGGAGCTGAAGAGTTCCTCAAAGGTGAGGCTGAGGAATTTTGCTTTCGATTCAGCTGGCAAAGTCGCCACAATCTCATCAACCCGCTCATCGAATAGAACAAGTATAAATGAGATACCTTCGATCGTGTGCGACACCAACTGAACGAGTGAGTGTAATGCGCGGTGCTCGGCTTGCAGTGCTACTTCTTCTTGCTTGCTGTTTACCCGGGCAAGAGCGTCGGGGCCGTTGAGCCCATCGATAAAGGTCTTGTTCACCTTGAAGAACTCTGCCAACGAGGAGAGATCATGCTGGACAGTCTGCAGTTTACTGGAGCTCACGGACGCGGACACTGATTGTGCGCCGTTAGGTCCACTGCCCACCTTAGCAATTTTCTCCTTCCAGATAGATCGCAACAGACGGGCGATATATAGCGCAATACCTGTGTGTCGAGGAGAGGGTTGCACTGCGTCAAGAGCAGATGTTGAGCCATCGGCAATAGCATTCTCATTCAGATGGGCTCGACCACCTTGAGTGATGAAGGCCTGGCGTGCTGCCGCCAGGATATCCGGATCGGTAATTCTGGTCAGTCTCTGGTCAGGGGAAATCTCCATACCCTGGCCACAAGCCACCGCCAGAGCAGTCGCCAGCATCTCGCTCCGTCCATATGTTCTAAGGAAATTTTGGATCTCCCCGGTAAGTCCCTCATGGGGGTTGCCGCTGCTGCGCAGCAAAGCCGCGAAGATATCCACGAGACGACGCCGACGAATGATATGAACTCCACCATTAGTCAAGATTGCAATCTCAGCAGCCGGGTGGTCGAATTGAACGGCCAGTTCGTTGGTCACTGGCGAAGGTGCCGAAACCAGACCAATATCCTCTGCCTTGCCTCCCAGGTCCAGGATGATAGCCGACTCAGCGGCTTTACCACTGACCGAACTTTCCTGGTACTGAGCGACCCGACCAGAGTCAGGGGTTGAGATGAAAAGGGTATCAATCTTTTGCTGCGCATCCTTGGTAGTGAAACAGAAGAAATAGCCTGGGGAATATCGCTCGGCAAGGCGAGTGGGTGAAAGTGTGGTAATCTGACCAGCAGAAGGTGAAGCCGCGCCAAGTGGTGCAGCAAGTGAGATGGAAGATGCCACCCCGCTCACGCCGGGGGAGATATCGACGGGCGGCGTCTTGACATGCAGTGCCTGCATGCTTGTGGGAGGGCTGGTGTTGGTCGACGCAGGCGCCCAACTGTTTGAACCAGTGGCACTGAGATAGATGCGATAGCCTGTTGCTGTCGTTGCAACTAGATGATACCGCGACGCTTCTGTGGCTGGCACCGGACTGATCGACACAATCTTGATTCTGGGGTTGAGTGTTTCGTTTGAGGTGATGATGTGCCCGATGTTAGAGTAGATATCTAGAGCGCGTTTGGTGATTGCGAGTGTCAAGGTGTTCTCAGGTCCCATGTGGAATACGCGGATTGTAGACGCGGAGGAGAGTGTATAGAGCAAGTTCCGGCTGTCGTCAAGTGCCATCTGCACTACATGTTCGGCAGAGCTTTGTGCAAGGTTCGTCAGGCTCATCGAAGGCCTGAAAGCGGACAGACGCGAGCTGGTATGGTTGACTCTGCCACAGCGGCCCTGGAACCACCTTTCCTCCTGTTGGTAGGTGACCTCGTGTACATCAGTGTCAGACGATCCTCCAAAGAAAATGCGTCCGGTGGATGCTGATGCTGCAAACACATTTATATCCAATCCACGGACTGCTACCGACATCCCCGTGTGATACAGAGAAACTTGTCGACCTCCGCTGGGCGTGTTTTCATAGCCCATTCCCAGCAGAATGATGTCCGCAGTCGTCGCAATGACCAGCAAATGGGTGATCGCAGGCAAGAAAACTCCCGAGCGCGGTTTGGTCAGCTTGACAGCATTGATGCTATTAGGCTGTTCCTCGAATCCCACCAATTGCGGGTTGGGGTGTGTGAAATCCCAGATGTATAATGCATTATCAATCGCGACCCAAGCGTGGTTTAACTCGGCAAACAAACCCATGCTGGTCGAAACTTGTGCGCGGTTGTATTGATCGAAAATCTGGTCGGGGATATCGTACATTTTGACTTTTTGGAATGGTGCCCATGATTGAGATACGGGGATGTTGTACTCAGACGAGGAGCCCTCTGTTTTTGGTCAGTCTTGCTTCGGACAGTCTTATTTGGGAAATCTTACGAGATAGATAGCTGTCAAGGTCTGGATAACGCGATTCGCTCTGCAAGCTGCTATTGATCGTTCGCGCCCCGCGTTCCTCGGTGCTCACTGTTTGATTTTTGGTCTTCGAGGCTGCTGGAGGGAGCTTTGGCATGGGCGTCTGGGGTTGCGTCTGCAATGGCGACTTGGAGGGGAGAGGCCGTGCTGTAGCTGGTGCCGGGGTCTGAAAGTAAGCTCCAGGAAGGGGTTTCTGCGGCGTCGCTGGAGGGAGATTTGTTGGTAGAGTCGGATACGACATGGCGGCGGCTTTAAGGAGGGAGAAGGGGAGGATCTCCCGCTAGAAATCACAAAGAAGCTGCAGTGTAGGTCGGACGAAGAAAAGAAAGTAAAAGATATGTGGGGGAATGACGATGAGAGAAGGTCTTGGGAGGAGATTGGATTATTGAAGGTCTTTGCGAAAAGAGAGAGTCAACACCTGGGAGCGCACAGACCACCAATTGGGAACTTCAGCTTTCACGGTATTGATTGTCGATTGTCTTCCATTCCCATTGATCCTCAATTGGGCTTGTTTCTTATTTTCTAGACTTGTCAATCGAAATGTTTCAATCCATTCGTCTTTCTTCGCGCCTACCAGCTCGTCTGGTGCGGTGGAATTCCACCGGTCCGACCCTGCCACCCTTGATGGCTACTTTGCGGACTGATCTGAAAACTGCTATGAGAGCCAAAGACACCACAAGGTAGAGAAAGTTTTCCACTTATGTTTTGGAGGTCCAGGACGCTTATTATCAGACTAAATGTACTTCGTGCTCTGATCTCCGAGACCAACAACGCCGCCAAAACCGCCTCGCCAATTCAAACAGACATTCAGCTCTTGTCGCTAATTCGGAAACGCCTGAATGCCTCGAAGGATGCGGCAAAGGAGTTTGGTGCCGCTGAACGTCCAGATCTGAAGGAGAAAGAAGATGCGCAGGTTGTGGTATTGGAGGAATATGCTAGTCAGGTCAAGACCCTCCCCATCGCCGAGATCAAGGAAGTGGTCATCAACGAGATCGCTACTATGGTCAATGCCAATATAAAGCCCAACCAAGGAACCGTTCTTAAAGCTCTCTTTGCTGCAGGAGGCCCTCTGGATGGCAAGCCAGTGGACCGAAAAGAAGTTGCTACTGAGGTCAAGAACGCGCTGTCTTGAGCTTACATTTAGCAGATTGTATATTAGTGTCACAATAGCCTCAGTCAAGGGCATTCGAATCTCATTTATAATTCACATGACGAACGAATCCGAAACTCTTCAACGCCAGCCTGAGATGTTCATGAGCAGAAGAAAGCTACTCCTCCAAGGGATGTCATCAGAACACCCAACCACCACCATCGGTCTGGATTGATCAGGTGTTCTCTAGCGATCAGGTGCAATCCTGACTTTTGCGACAGTTCTCGCTTTTGCTTATGCCCTGTTGGCGTGGGATTCAAGGTTGTGGTGGGGAGCATCTTTGGTGGCTGGTAGGCGAGGAACATGGGATGGACGAGCGAGCCATCAAGCCTGGTCAGATCGAGGCGTTTAATGCGATTGAACTTGTCTATATACACGGAGAATTCCTGTGTTTTGTCAGAATGAGCCGGCGGAAAGAGAACGGAAGAAATGTACCTTGAACTCCTCGGTAGTGTTAAATCGTGTGTACTGACCTGACTGTTGCCGGCAGGGCTCGGACAGTAATTGACGACCATCGACAGCAATTGGAGTCAGCGCCAGCGTTCCGTTGCCGAACACAGTATAAGCGCCATGCTGCCACTGCATGATCCCTCCCGGACATGATGGGTCGGCCGCTGTTCGATATTAATACAGGTTCAGAATCTATATATCCATGGAGAACTCACGATTTGAGATTGCGCGATAGTATGCGGATTCATAATTTCCGTCGTCATCAAATGAGTATGAAATGCCCGTTAGATTGGGCTCGAGTAGTTTGTCGTTGAGCGGATCGTAGAATCCCTATGGATGTTAGTCTCAAGTCATTTGTTACTACATATATATGTAGGAGGAGTTCCACATACTGGACCAGTAAGAACATCACGAGATTTGGTAGTCCATGTTCCCACTAATTCATTCGCGTTCGCCAAAGCGATTGTGACTAAAAGACCCCAAATCAAAAACATCTTAGTTGATAAAGGGAAAATTGACAGAAAGGGAGTATTTCAAGGGCGCCCTTTATTGGGGTGGGGACCAACAACATAGTTCAGCAAGGCCCTGGAATGGGCAGGGTTGATCGAAGACGTTATCATAGCCACAAGTGGCTAATTAGACATGCAACGGTTCTGTACTGTAGTGCTTATCACTATTGTTTTTTGAAATGATCCGATTATTGCAAGTTTTTTTGGTTTCTATTTTAGAACAGTAACTTACGGAGGGAACTTCCCCGCGGATTACTCTGGTTATATTTACCCGTGGACTTTGTAACCACCTACAACCATCTCAACAGATATGGCGTTCCAGGCTGCAAAGCGCGACCTCCGCAAGAGGATGCGCTCGACTTTGCAGAGTCTGTCTGCAACCTCAATAAGTCAACAATGTCAGGTCAAATGATGGTCTTTGGCTTGTCCGTAACTAACCCGTCCCAGCCAGCACGGCAACAACCACTTTCTTGTCACTGCCCGAGTACCGGAGCGCCAAAAGCATCGCCGTATACCTGTCTATGCCAAGTGGGGAACTCTCAACAACTGGAATCGTAAAGGATGCTCTACAGCATGGGAAGAACGTCTACATCCCATATATTCACACCCAGGACAAGACATCCATTATGGACATGTTTGCGCTCAGGTCCATATCCGAGTTCGAGTCATTACAGCTAGATAAATGGGGAATCCCATCTCTGCTATCTACGCAAATCGAAGGTCGACCGAATGGATTGACACAGGGCTTGGATCTTATTGTCATGCCGGGCATGGCCTTTGACCGTGGGTTCCGACGACTTGGTCATGGCAAAGGGTATTATGATCATTTTCTAACGCGATACTCAACATCGACCCGCAAAATGCCATTCCTCGGTATGTAGTCCCAGAAACAATCCGTTTATCCCCGACTGAACTCCATGGTAGTTGCTCTTTCTCTCCAAGAACAGTTGCTCGCTGATGATATTCCTGTGGTGGAGCACGATTGGTTGGTTGATGCCATCGTGGTTGGCGATGGTCAATTCTTGAATCGCAGGGCGTAGCGCAAATCGAAACAGAAAAGGAATAGCGAAAATTCAAACAGCCTGGATCAGAGAGACATTGTCTCCCTTTAGGAGGATCTGGCCTGTTGCGCATTAGTTAGCTGTGTTCTCGTGTGACTTCATTTCAATTTCATCGTACCTAGTGGCCTGCGCTTCTCTTCCTCTGTTTTGGTTGCCAGGCGCACTTCGACGGCATCGTCAATGACCAGGTTCATGAATTCATCAAAGCCCTAGCACGGGTTAGCTCAGAGACAACCAAAACGGGGTCCCGTAAAGAAACACATACGCGGATCTTCCCCTCTATCCGGAAAGCGAGCTGCTCATACAGCCAGATGGAAACAGTGCTGCGTTTCTGTAGGAGACTGAAAATAAAGTGAATCGGAGCCAATAATGTCTTGCGGCCTGCCATGATGTGCGGTTATGTCGAAAGTGATAGCTGTCACACGGGAGACGAGGCGAAGAAAGCTCTGGCGGGCCTGGCGGTCGTCCCGTGATTTGATTACGGTAATACGGTTATCTCGTCACGGCCACCCCATCCCACCTTCAACTTGCTCCCCCTCTTCGAACCCGTTTCCGCAGTCAGATGCTGATACATTTTTGATACATTGCTGAGCCTTGATTAATCTGTTTAGTTCAACATGGCCAGCAAGGAAGCCGGGCAGGCATTCGCCCCGGTCCTGGCGGCCGTCGCGACAATGCAAGGAAATGTGTCTAGGACTGAGAAGACTCAGGCACATGAATTCCTTGAGAAGTTCCAGAAATCGGTACGATTCTTTCGCTTTGAATTGGCTTGTCCTTTTTCGCTGATCTTCTATGTATCTTTAGATTGAGGCCTGGACAACAACCCATGCTCTATTACAGTCACCCGATGTGCCGGTCGAAGCCAAATTATTCGCCGCGACTACACTGAAAGGAAAAGTAAGGGTATCCCTACCCGATCGTTTTCGCGGTTTCTAATTGCGCAGATTATATTCGATCTTGATCAACTCCCTCCGGACTCAGTGTTGGCCCTTCGAGACTCGGTTCTGAACCTATTGGTTGCATTTGCGCCGGGCCCGCGCCCTATCCAGACCCAGCTATGCGTGTGCTTGGCCAGTTTGGCGATTCAGATGGTCACATGGAAGGATGTTCTGGCGACTGTCGGAGCAGCTCTAGGAGGCAGCGCGGGGGATTGTGTCCTGGAGTTCCTAAAGATCTTGCCCGAGGAGGTCACTGAGGGTCGCAAAATCAATCTCAGTGTATGTTTCTGTGATGGTGTTTACAAAGGTTCAAGCTGACATCTACAAGGAAGACGAATTGCTCGGGAGAACCAAGGAGCTGCTAGAAGACAATGCGGAGCAGGTCATGCAGCTGATGATCCAATATGCTCAGTCGTCGGGTACGTATCCGACGACCACGTCCCATTCTCTTCGCGAATTAGGATCCATAACTGACCATAAACAGCTGCTGCCGCAACCAACCCCCGTCTTCTCGACTGCATTACTTCGTGGCTACGTGAAATCCCCGCCGCCAAGGTCGTTGAGTCACCTCTTATGGACGTCATCTTCAAAGCCTTGGACAACGATGCGTCTTTTGACGCCGGTGTTGACTGCATTTGCACGCTTTACCGCGACACAAAGGATGTGGACGAGTCGTTGCCTGTTATTCAAGCCCTTTATCCGCGATTGATGGCACTTCGCCCAAAAATTGCCGAAACTGCCGAGGCCGAAGATTTGGAGGCTTTCAAGGGTATCACAAGGATGTTTGCGGAGGCAGGTGAAGCATGGGTTGTCCTTATTGCACGCCTGCCGGGTGAGTTCCAGGGACTCGTTGAGGCGCTTCTCGAATGTTGCGCACGGGACTGGGAGCGCGACGCTGTGTCTCTGACTTTCATTTTCTGGTACGAACTGAAGCAATATATTACTCTCGACCGGTACACCGATGCTCGAGTCGCCTTCCAACCCGTCTTTGCCCAGTTGGTGGACATCATGGTGAAACACCTCGAGTTTCCTACTCCGGAAGAAGGCGAGGGCGAGGATCTGTTTTCTGGAGACCGCGAGCAGGAGGAAAAGTTTCGTCAATTCCGCCATGCAATGGGCGATGTCCTTAAGGACTGCTGTGCTGTTGTGGGTGTGAATGATTGTCTTGCTAAAATCTACCAACTGATCCAGCAATGGGTAGCCAAGTATGCATCCCAGGCGACCAACGAGCATGTTCCGCATTGGCAGGAACTGGAGGCCCCTCTGTTCGGCCTCCGCGCAATGGGCCGTATGGTCGACCCCGAAGAAAGCACCATTCTTGGGCAATTGATTCCTCTGATCGTTCAAATCCCCGATCAGGAGAAAGTGCGGTTCCAGGCGATCATGGCGCTAGCACGCTACACTGAGTGGACAGCTCTCCATCCCCAAACATTGGAGGCTCAGCTCAACTATGTGATTTCCGGATTCCACCATTCCTCTCAAGAAGTTGTGCAGGCCTCTGCTCTTGCCTTCAAATTCTTGGGAACGGACTGCCAGAAGTTGCTTGGTGGTCATATTGAGCAGCTTCACACCTTCTTCGAGTCGGTTCTTGACAAGCTGAAGCCCACAAGCCAGGAAGAAGTCACCGAGGGTGTTGCCGCAGTGGTTTCGGTGCAGCCCCACGAGAAGATCTATGATTCATACAAAATGTTCTGCGACCCGATCATGGCCCGAATTATGAACCTTGCCAATAATGCGCAGACTGAGGAAGATCAGCGAGCCGTGGCTGATCATCTACAGCTGATCACTATTTTTGTGCAAGTGGTGACTCCGATTCTTGCACCGGGAGAAGAAAACCCCGCCGTCAAATACTGCGGTGAGGTTCTACCCATTATGACCACGATTGTCATGAACTTTACGTCTTCTACGCCTATCCTCGAGCGAGTGTGCCGATGCTGGCGATACATGATCATCTCTTACCGCACTGGCATGATCCCTCTTTTGCCGACTCTGGCCCAGAGTATCGCGAACGGATTCCAGGCCTCGCGCGAGGGTTGCTTCCTTTGGGCCACAGATGCGGTGGTACGCGAATTCTCCGATGGTGCCGAGTACGTCGACCAGGCCACCAGTGATGCCGTCTTCCAGTTCTATGAGCAGCAGGCCATTGCATTCCTACGGATCTTGAACGACCTCCCCCCACAAAATCTGCCAGATGTGATTGAAGACTTCTTCCGTCTCTCCTCTAACGCCGTTCGATACTACCCCAAGAAGTATATCACTTCGTCCCTTGCCGTCCCCATCTTCTCCGCCGCACTCAGTGCTCTCACTCTCCAACAACTCGACCCTCTGATCGCTACGCTGCATTATTACCGTGATTTATTCAGCTTTGCATTTGACAAGCCTATGGTCTCCCAGTTCACCAGCCCGGAAGGCCAGCCTTACGTTACCCCTCCTGAGGTTCGCGAGGCCGTTAAGGCGTTGATCATCTCGCAAGGCCAGCCTTTGGCGCAGCGGGTGTTGACGGGCATGATGTTCACTTTCCCAGGCGACTGCTTCGCTGATGCGTCGGGACTACTGATGACGATGTTCGAGCTGCTCCCTCAGGAAACTGGGGCATGGCTGGAGGCCACATTGCAGATGCTGCCGAGCGGCACTATGAAGCACGGCGAAGCCGAGCGACTGCTCAAGAACGTATCTGACAAAGTCCAGTCCGGAGAGACCCGCAAAATCCGTGTCCTCCTCCAAGGTCAGTCCAGTCCCCGTGCCCTTATTCTTTATTGCTTCATCTAACCCCACCTAGACTTTACGAACTCGTATCGCCGCCGCAATGTAGCCCCACGCGATGGCCTTGGCCGTCTGGAGGCCGCCCGATTCCGTTTCAGCGGATGAGAATGTTACCGTAAATTCTTCTTCGGTGCTGATCAGCGCTAAAAAAAGAAACCCACGGAAGCATTTGCACAAAATCTGGCGTCAGTTCTGTGCTATTGGCGTGCCATGTGGTACGATACACGATGGGATGGCATGAACTCGGTGTGATGATTAATGACCTGCTGGTACGCCAGCCTCACCAGAACCTTTCTGGCTTTGACATTGCTGCCAGGTGTTGTACGAGCTCGACCTGTATCTAGGTATTCAATAGTCGCGACTCATTTCTGTGAGACGCGTTGGCACACTTTCTGTGTGTGTGGTCATTTGATTACGAGTAATGAATCTATTGAGCATCAATATCCCATTGGCATATGTTTCTGGTTAGGTGTAGGAATACTCAATTAAAGTAGCAGACGGCAAGTAGGCTGTAAGAAACGGCCGCAAGTGAGGCCGTTCTTGGCCGTCGATTTGCCGGTGTTTGGCCACAGAATCCTGAACTAATAAAATAAACTACAAAGTGGATATCTGTGAACAAAGAAAGCTTTGAATTCAACGTCCTAATAATACATGTAGTGATAATGTTCAGGCTTCCAGAAAGACATGGCGGCAGCACTCAGCAAGATCCTCAGCCGTGAATGTGATATTTCTTTCCCTTGTGTTAGGGGCCGGCCGGCGGCGCATGACGGATTCGAAATCTAGTTCCAGCGGAGCGTTCTTAACATCGCTTGAGGTAATAACGATCTCATTGACCGCTGAATGACGCAGCACTATTGGGGAGTCTGTTTGAGATAGCAGAATGCGCTGGGCCTCCGCCTGTAGTCCACGGGTGATCCTAGGGGTGGTTGGTCTAAGACTGTATTGTTTTATGGTGACTCTGCGCTCGGGCGATCTTTGGATGCGAAAGAGTATAACCATATTGACTTTGTAGTCGGAATTTGCGAACCACCAATATGCGTCGGCTCGTAGTTGTGCTTCTGATTCAGAAAGACCAGTTTCAATAACGAGCGAAGGCCAGTCGTTATCTTCAGAAGGATTCCCTAACGGAGTAAGAGACTCGTCGGCTTCCTTATCGCATGTTCTTCCATGGTACCGGGAGGCGCTGTTCATAGTGTAATCTCTTAGATGAATTCCTATTTCGAATAATTTTAGGACGAGTTCGTTTGAAAATGACCGCGTGACTCGCTTATGGGCTTTTGAGGGCATTATTCGAATGACCCCTTGCCAATGCTGTGTATCGAGTGTTAACCTATAGGGCACTTCAAGGGGGTTTCGATCTCCAGCTATTAGCTCCTGCACTTGTTGAGATATGTTTGACACGATGATAAACTGGTTCGAGTAAGACGTGTCGGAGTTGATTTGATGGTAGACATCGTTCGCAGTTTCTCGAAGGGTAGAAATAGAAGGGGCAGACAACACTATAGCACCCGGGATTTCGAATGGCAGGTGCGAATAACAGACACCCGCTACCTCGACCTCGACCTGCGAAGTTCGAGGCGCAACATCTGACTCGGTCCTATCGAGGGACTTCGCCGAGTCGACGTCCTTTGCAGCTGAGGAAACTGTGGATAATGGCGGAGACAGCATATTGGCTAAACAGTGGTGGATAGCGAAAGGAGGATAAGGCAGAAGAAGAGAAGTGAGAAGGCTATTAACGAAGGGGGACTAGTAGTAGTATAGTATTAATGGAGGGGAAGGTACGTTATCGATAAGAGTGACGGCAAAATTACCCTACGACAGGACAGGATCATATCATGTGACGTAGGTCTAGGCAGGCGGTCAGCAGCGGTAGGAGGGTGGCGACTCTTGCCGTTGTGTAGAATACTATGTTTACCATCCTGTACAGTAGAATAGGTCAACTCTAGGCATATAGGGATTATACGAATAATTAACTCTTTATATATCACTATTACTATAGATATGAAAACAATAGAAGTCCTATATTCCTCACGATGCTATAGACTGTACAACATATATACTTACACAGTACAGTCTCTCACCAATAAAGCCATCTCCGCCAACAACCTTGGAACCCCACCGAGATCTCCGCACTTCCCCCGGACAACCCTCTCCAAGTCTTCTTTGCGCATTCCTTGACTCATTTCTCTCCCTATTGGGCCCTTTTGTGTTCAGATATTCTTCTTCGACTCCACCTTCTAGTGATCATCGTGCCATGGCATGAAAAATGGAGATCGACGGTCAACCCTCCAAGAGACGGCGACGCAGTCGCAAAGTTCAGTCTGACCGCAAGTTTGAATGCACATTTGAAGGCTGCGGGAAGAGCTATTCTCGCGCTGAACACCTGAGTCGCCATGCGCTCAACCATACCCCGAAACAAATCTATCGCTGCGACTTTCCCAACTGTTACCGATCCTTCGTGCGACAGGACCTCTGCACGCGCCATCGTGAACGTCACACCACCAGCGGTTCCCAGCTCCAGAAACGAGATCATTTCACTGAAAATGGAACGAAAGACTCCCCGCCCTCTTCGCCTGCTATCACCGCGCCGGAATACTTTGTTGGCTCGGAGGAGCCCAAACCCCCGGTGACAACATACCCCCTCACCACCGGTGTGGATAGCAATGAGATACCAGTGGACCAATACTCGGATTTCCCAGCGGTGCTGGACCAGCCTGATAATCTTATCGACCTCGACTCCATGTCCTACCCGATCTTTGGCGGGGAAACCTATAACCGATCACCATTCGCCATGGCAGACGATTTTGCAGCGTGGTTATTCAGCGAGCCAGTCGCGCCATTGGGCTATGGAATGGTACCACTTGTTCAGAATCAGTTCTACATGAACGAGCCTGCATATAGCAACCACAATTTTTGCTCAGTGATTCCACAGCATCCGATGAGCGTGACGAGTATTCTGGACTCGGGAGCACCACCTGCTGTGATCTCAGAAGCAAAGCGCCAGGAGCTGCTGCACTTAATGTCGACGCGATTTAATGAATCGGCGTATGCGGCAGGTGCTAAACGCAAGGATGCATTAATGGACGGGGATTTAAATGACGACCGACATGCCTTGAGCTTGCGCATGATGCAGACGTACATTGGATCCTATTGGTATCACTTCCATGCACAACTTCCAATATTGCATCAGCCGACATTTAGCGCTGATCGTATCCCGAATCTATTACTACTAGCGATTATGGCGATTGGCGCGGCAACACTGGATAAGATTCATGGGCAGTCTGCCACCGAGGCAGCGGCTGAATTGGCTAGCTTCATTGCCTGGCATTTGCGCTGGGAAATCTTTATGGACGCGGACTTTCGGCCGCCAGCTAGGCTTTGGGTGTTCCAGTCTCTATTATTGCTTGAAGTTTATGAGAAGCTCTTTTCCACACGCGCATTACATGAACGCGCTCATATCCACCACGACACAACACTCACGCTTATGCGCCGAGGTAGTTCACTCATCGGTAGTTCTTCATTTGCCACCCCGGAAAGCAAAGAAGAAGACGAGTCATGGTCAACCTGGATCAAAACCGAAGCGACTCGGCGCGTGGCATTCGCCGCCTTTGTGTTGGACTCAACGCATGCCACTATGTTCGGTCACTCGGCCAAAATGGTGGCCCACGAACTGCGGCTGCCGTTGCCCTGTGATGAGGCGCTGTGGGCTGCGACAAGCGCCGCCGAGGTCGCTCGCGTGCAGTCCAGTCTGCAGTCGCACGGTGTGCGGCCAATTATGTTCCTCGACGGCCTGAAGCGCACACTCAATGGCCAGCCCGTCCGGACAAACGCGTTTGGGCGAATTATTATCATGTCGGGCTTACTGAGTGTCTGCTGGCATCTAAACCAGCGAGACCTGCAGATTAGCTCACTCGGTGTGGGCCAGACTCTCGGCGGACGAGAAAAGTGGCGGACAGCACTTCTCCGGGCATTCGATAACTGGCGCCGCGACTTTGACGAAGCCCTAGGCCCATCTACTACATCTGAGTCGCGCAACGTGCTGCATGGGCTGGCTCATATGGGTTCCCATGTTGATATAGCCGATTTGCAGATCTTCGCAGGCGCGGGCCGGTTAATGGGCCGGTCAATCACAGCGCGTGACTACTCCGCTGCACGAGAAAAGACTGAGAAATGGGCGACCAAGGCTTCGGCGCGGGATGCCACGTTCTACGCGCTCAAGTTCCTATCTGCGTGTTTCTTAGATCCGGCCACACAGCCCGGTGAGTATGCTGCGCGTGATGACTACTTGTTAAACCGGCCGTGGGTTATGTACTTCGCAGCACTGGTGGTATGGACCTATGGGTTTGCGCTGGATGGACCCTTGCGTCCTCCCCCTATTCTCCTGACTGTGGCCGACCGAGAGCGCGACATGCAGGGGTTTTTGCATCGTATGGGCGAAATCCAGGAACCCAACGAATTGGAGGCTATGAGTGAGCGCAATGGGTGTCTCGGTCTGCTAATGATTCTCCGAGACTCCTTTGCCAAACCGCGGTGGGAGTTGTTGGGAGAGGCGGCGCGGCTGCTGGACAGCTGCATTGTAAAGCTGCAGTCGTAGCATGTATGATCTGTTTATATATACCAAATTATTATTGTTTCTATTATTTTATGATCTGACAGGAGTGAGACATGCAAGTATGCACTATATAACTACATAACGACATAAGTATACAACCTTCCCGAAATACGACTTTGTAGCGTTGCCCTAACAACCACCGCCGATCCCACACCAAGATCCCCCCGACCTTCACCTCCTAATCTGCATTTTTGTTTCCAATCTCCAATCTCCAATCTCATAACTATCCAACCAAAATGGTAAGTCCCCAGATTCCTCATTGTTGATGGACTTCCTATTCAAGCGATCCAACCGCAACCCCTTTCCGCCTATGTAACCGCGGAATTGCGCCCCCCCTCGATTTCCCCCCTCATCTACAACTGTGTCATCAAAACATTGCGCTCTCTTCCATCTTCATCATGGCTAATAACGATCAGGCCTCTACAAACTACAAGGAAGCGTTCTCGCTCTTCGATCGCCGTGGCACTGGCCGTGTTTCTGGTGACCTCCTCGGTGACTTGCTCCGCGCTTGCGGTCAGAACCCTACGCTGGCCGAGATTGGTGACTTGGAGAAGTCTGTCGGTGGTGACTGTATGTTTCGATTCTTTGGCTTAGTTGTTAGTTGGAGGGCGCTATCGCGCCTGACCATCGATGAAACGGGAATCCCTGGCTAACTCGTTCTCTCTCTATCTGTCTAGTTGACTTCGACTCCTTCCTGAAAGTCCTCAACCGCCCCGGTGGTTTCCGTGAGCCTGGCGAGCCGGAGGAGTACTGTCGTGGATTCCAGGTCTTTGATAAGGATATGACCGGGTTTATTGGCGTCGGACAGCTGCGTTACAGTATGTTCTGTCACAGGCAATTTGGATGAATGCGGTTGGAAAGGATATTGCTGACATTCGGCACTTGCAGTTCTCACGAACCTTGGCGAGAAGATGTCTGACGATGAAGTCGACGAGCTGCTTAAGGCTGTTGACACTAGCTCCGGCGAGATTAACTACACGGGTATGTCTGCTGTGGAACCCAGAGTGGGCTATATGTTAATTGCAGCTGCTAACTCTCTCTCTAGATCTTGTCCGTACTATCCTCGCCAACTGATACCCCGATATGATTAACGTTCGATATGGAAATGGCTTTGGCTTGAGGGATTGAAATTCGGCGCGTTGGAACCTTCATCTTGTATGTTTTTATTCTCAAATACACTGTATTATTCTGCTCCGGGGTATCGCCTTCCGTAGGAATGTAGGTCTAGATCTACGCATCTCTACCTGTGTAGATTGTACATCTATAACATAGTCTACACTCCCATCTAAACAGCCCACTCTCTCCACTCCCTCTCCCCAACCCCCTCACCCCCCAGCTTCTCCGTCTCCACAACAGCCCCAGGAAGAAGATAAACAGCCGGCGGCCGCTCCTCCTCTTCCTCCTCTCCATCTGGCGCCGCTCCCCGATCTCTAGCAGACGTCCAATGCACCCGATCCAAATAATACCCCACAACAACCTTGCACCGCCCACACCTCAAAAGAATTCTCTTCTCAATCCCGTCTTCGCGCCGGATCATCGTCGCCCGCCGGTCCGGGATCGTAGTGGCCAGGAGGAGCGTTGTGTGGTTAGAGGCGTGTCTTGCTTTGCGCGACGGCGTTTCTGTTGCTTTGGCTTCTTCTTCGAGATCAGCGTCCACTTCCCCGTCTGTTGAGCTCTTGCGCTCGAGTGGTAGAATCAGCGCTTTGTCTTTGCTTTCGCCGCCGCGTCGTGGGAGTGTGCTTATGTTGCGTGTTGTTGCTAGCAAGAGGTGGTTGCAGAAGCGGCAGTGTTGGGTCTGGATTGGGAGGCGTTGATCTGTCATTTTGGGGGTCGGTGACGTTGCGCCGTGATTGACTATTGGTTGGCGCTTTTGAGCTGATAGGAGCGGAGGGGCTAAAGCTGGTCCGCACAGGCAGATCAGGTGCAATGTCGGTGATGCGAGTCGAGAGCTGGGGTCTCGGTCAGTCTTTTGCGCCGGGTTTGAGTGGGAACTATCTTTCTGCTGGACGTAGCTCAGTAGGTACGTACCGGCAATTAGACGAATGTATTTAATCCGAGACTTTGTGCTGTCTTGTATGTAAAAGTTCTAAATGAGGCAATCAAGAAAAAAGAGCTGTTGAGATGCGGAGAAGTGCAGAATGGCAAGGCGGTGTACTTATCAGTATACCATCTGCCCATGAATAGCTTCCAGTTTCGTAAGGTTGTTAGCTACATACATGTACATACAATATAGTTCAAGCTAAAGCTCGGCATTCATGAGCACACAATATGCGTTCTCATAGCTCTGATATAATTTAATGAAGATATAGTCTAAAGCCGTTTTGCTCGTATCTAAGCATTTCATAATGTCTAGCCTATCTCACGCCTATTGGACTCTCTAGTTATAGGAGTAGGGCCTCTAACTTATCCACTTTAGCGAGTGACTCAGGTTTTGCTATCTAATATATAATTTATTAGATATTATAGTTAACTCATAGTAATTCATAAGCTCCGATAGCTGTAAATGCTCCGCACCACTTTACGCCAGTCCAAGGTCCTTATAGAATGCATCGGTCTGAGGCTCACGGCCCAAGAATTCAGTCAGAGTCTTCATCTCATCCTGGCTACCGCCCTTCTCCAGAACCTGGTAGCGGTAGCGACGGCCAGCAGCCTTGTTCATGGGATCGTCCTTGAAGACGGTGTAGAACATGTCGGTGGAGTAGACTTGGGAGCTGCAGAGCAAAACCATGAGTATTCGAACGACATTGAAATCAACTAGACAGAGTCAACTTATAAACTTACCTCAGGTATCCGTAGTATCCAGCGTCGTAACCTCCGATCAAATGTCCGAAGGTCGCCTCGCCGTGGCCCCACTCGCTGCCAGCACCCTGAACTTCCGGTCCGTCCATCTGGGTAATCTCCTGGCGGAGACGGTTGTATGTCGCAGACAGAGGAAGAGCCTCAATGTCGGCATGGGTCTTGGGCTCGTGCACGGTCATGTCGAAGATTCCGAAGTGTAGCTGGCGCAGGTTGAACAGGGAGTCGTTGACGTGCTTGGTGCGGATCAGGTTCTCAATCACATCGTCGGGGATGCGCTCCGACGGCTGGCTGGTGGCGGTCTTGCCCTGCTGGGCCTCCTGCCAGGTAGCAAGGTACTCTGGGGAGAGGGTTGAATAGTGTCGGCTTAGAGAGCGCAGCTGCGAGGGTTCCCAGCACCAGTTCTCCAGCATCTGGCTGGGTGCCTCGACAAAGTCGCGTACTGTGCTGGTGCCGTGGAAGCGGGAGTAGATCGTTCGGGACACCAGGTCGTGGATGCCGTGGCCTAGTTCGTGGAAGAGGGTCACGACCTCGTCGTGCTTCAGCAGACTAGGCTTCTTGGGTTGGGGCTTGGTGAAGTTGCACACCAATGCGGTGGCAGGGAATCGGCGGTTACCATCCTTATCAATGAAGCCCGGCTGCAGGTTGAAGTTGGCTGCATGGCCATACTTGCCCTCACGAGGGAAGAGGTCCAGGTACAGGTACCCAACGAACCCACTACCTTCGCCTTCGTCGTTCCACACACTGAACACTTGAACATCGTCGTGCCAGACAATGTCATTCCCTTTACCAGTCGGGGCAATGGTTGCCCGGTCCTCGCCAACGATCTCAATGAACTCCAGACCGAACAGCTCCTCGAAGATCTTCAGCATACCGTCAATGGTTGTCTGCAAGGGGAACCACTCAGCAATAAGCTGTTGATCTAGCGAGTAGTCCTTTTCGAGCATGAGACGGTCATAGAACCGGTGATCCCACAGGTAGTAGCGGCCATCGGCGTTGGGGTCCGTGGCGTTCTTAAGTTCCAACAACTTCTGTGTCTCCTTCTTACCGCCATCGGTCAGTCTGTCCCGAAGATCACCCAAAAACTTGTTAACGGTCTCTGGCGTCTTGGCCATCTTGTCCTCAATGCGGAAAGCAGCGTGATTGGGGTAACCGATCAAACGGGCTGCCTCATCACGGAGTATAATGGATTCCCGGAATAGTGGCACGTTCTGGTTGCACTTGTTCTCATTGGCGATCATGACTTGTCGGCGGGTCTCGGGATCGCTGGCGTATTTCATGGTGGGGAAGAGGTCCGGGTACTTGAACGATAGCCAGAGCTTGCCGGCGTTCTCGCCCTCACCCTTCTTCAGGCCGTCTATAACATCCTTAGGCACACCAGCCAACTGCTCGGGGGTAAACCAAATGCCGCCGTTCTCCTCGTTCAGGTTCTTCTGGAATTCGATGCTCAGCTGGCTCAGCCGCTTCTTGATCTCCTTGAAGCGGAGACGCTGAGGGCCAGCGGGCAGGCCAAGTCCATTGCGGACGAAGTCCTTGTGTTCCTTCTCTAACAGACGGCGTGACTCCGGATCGAGAGACTCGTTGCGGCGCAGTACGGCATCGACCAGACCAAAAACATCCTCACGCATGACAGCCTCAATAAAGAACTCATCCATCAGCTCTTCGGCCTTGGAAGAGGCATCCCGCAGCTTGGAGTCGGTCGACACGGCCTGGTAGAAGCCCAGGATGTGTGACTCGAGCCCCATCTGGTTGTCATCCTCGGCGAGGGGGCGGACAACATTGGCAAAGGTGGCGGCATCGGGCTTGATCTCCGCCACCACTTTGTCCTGAATGGCACGCGAGTTCTTGATCAAGCGCTCCGCATCAGCTACCACTGACTGCGGGGTTGCAGTAAAGATAGGCGGGGCCTGGGGTGGCGTCCGGAGGTGAGCGGGGGCCATGCTGGAGGTCGTCAAGAGTCGTTTTGGTACGTTGGTACGTAAGTGGCCCAGCGCGGATGACAGGCGGGCGGGAAGACGAAGGAAGGGCGCCACGATGAGGATGGCTAAGAGAGCAATGAGGATATGTAGACGAGCGGTGAAAGCAATGATGGGTGATGGATGCGGTGGAAGGGACACTTGGAGATATGAAGATTGTCAGGTGATCCGAAGCTGATAATTGCGGAGACAGATATCTACACTTTCTTGGCATTTGTTTCTGCAACGTCCTTTAGGTATTGTATTAGTACTTTTATATAATTACCAGGGCTCTATAGCTGGCTAGAACAGTTTCTTTGCATGGCTATTTGTACTGACCGATAGTTTTTCCAACAGCTGGCCAATAAGCATGGAAACCACATTTTGCCATCTCCTTCTATGCCTGCCTACACTCAGAGCAAAAGGGTCGCTTGGAATACTTTACCAAGTTCCATTATTGACAGTATACAAGAGTGGATCAGAGATGTAATAATCCATGGATGGGCGTCCGGAGTACTCAGTACGAAGGATTGACATGTGAAGGGAACTAAGCGCCCCGCACTTTGCATTCTCTTCAGTTCTCTCAAACCTAACAGCTCCCTACCTCAAGTCTACACTCTACAACGTATCAAGATTCCAAGCCCCGAATAAGTATGTTCGAATAAGGATGAAAATTCGTTTCTAATTCATGATTATCTATGAAGTGCGTCACAGGTCGCTTTTGATGGAACAAGAAAAAGATGGAAAGAAAACGCCAACACCGACCGACCCACAAATGCAAAAGAAAATGTCATCAAGTTCAGTTTAGGCTGCATCTGCAGTCGGAATCGGCTCGGGCATCTTAGTGACCTGCTGACCGGCCCGGATAATCCGCTGGCCTGTCTCATCACGCACATATTCGGAGTTCTCCTTCTGAGCGCGCTTCCAGATCTCAACTTCACCACCGCCGCGGATGACTCCGACACGCATGGTGGAAAGCAAGTTGTGAGCACCGTTGGAGTGGTAGTAAACTCCACCGTTGAACATGGCCGTGGCGTCCTTGCCAAGGCCGGACTTAATCATGGCCTTGCCACCGGGGTGGTCCTTGATGAAATCGGTCACGTCGTGAACAACGCCAGCAATGGAGATCAGGCCACGGCCGTTCTTGGCCTGCTCAACATAGTCATCCCACTCCATGACGGGAAGCTGGTCCAGGGGAGTACCCCAGTCGAGCTTAGCGCGCTTCTGGTCAATCTTCTTCTGCAGCTGCTGGACGCGGCCCTTCTCGATCTCGTTGGAGCGGAACTGCTTCAAGTCGTAGGCCAGGCCGAGCTGCTTGCAGGTCCAGATGGTCCACTTGGTGGGGTCGTACTGGTGCCACTCAATGGCGTTGCGGTAGTCCGAGGGGAACTCGTGGTGGAAGTTGTGGTAGCCCTCGCCGAGGGTCACCAGGGCGGTGATGATGTGATCACGGGGAGAGTTGCGGTCGTCGAAGGGCTGGTCGCCGAGCCAGTGCGCCAGCGAGTTGACGCAGAAGGTAGCCTGTTGCACGAAGAAGATGCGCAGAATACCCGCGTACACGAATCCGCCGTACCAGTCACCCCAGCCGAGACCAGCGACCAGCATGGGGACGATGAGACCCATGGTGATCACGACCTTGATGTAGTTGCGGTGCTGCCAGACAACAACAGGGTCTTCGTTCAGATCGGTGATGTCAGTGCGACCAATCCGCTTGGGATTCTGCTTCATGACCATCCATCCGAGGTGCGAGTACAGCAAACCCTTACGCACAGAGTAAGGGTCCTTGTCAGTGTCGGTGTAACGGTGGTGTGCACGGTGGTCACGAGCCCACCAGCGGATGGAGCCCTCGACGGCACCGCCGCCGACCAGAGCGAGCCAGATACGCATAGGCAAAGTGGCGGAATAGGAGCAGTGAGCCCAGAGACGATGGTATCCTGAAGATGGAGTCAGCTCGAATTCTTCCGTGTTCCGTTCGATTCTGAACTACTCACCAGCTGTGATTCCCAGTCCAGTGAAGAAATAGTAGATGACTGCCCAAATGGCGGTCTTCAGCTGCAGAGGCACGAAGAAAGCCTGGATGCAACCCGAGATGGGAACACCGATGATGAAAGTGACGTTCAGCCAGTTGACATGCTTGTACCAGTTCTGGCGAGTCATCTGGGTATCGGCAATGTGCACCTTCTTGGTGTCAGCCGCCCGAGGGCGTGAAGCATCCGGCTTGGACGACATGCTGGGTGTGTAGAAGGTTGGAAATTCAATCCAGGAGGACCAAAGGGCTTTTTATACTTGGGCCCACTTGGGACCAACGTTGGGGAGCCGGGGCACTGATCGCCAACGTATATGGGGAAAATAGGCCTAAAAGACGAATGAAATGAAAGCAAAAGATTGAGTGTCACAAGATCCCGAGGCGAAAAAGAAACCCGAAGAGAGGAGAATTGCCTTATAAGCAAGCGCTGGGAGACTTTTGCGCTGCCCTTTGCTCGGGAGTGGCGTGCCTCATCGCTTTCTGGCGAATGTTGGGTCCGGCCAGCCCCAACGCTTTGGTGCCTCAGGCAGTAAGGAGTGATTGACCAATCAGAACTTGACGGCAAATATGTTTATGTCAGCATTTATCCCAGCAGCCATTTAGGGCTGTCCTAGGTTCCACGGGCGGGAGGTAAGTCCGGGATTTCTAGGGATTCTTCTTTTCGGCCCAATCATATCATACACGCATCGAGAGTGCTCAACCTGAGCGTTGATTACTGGTTACTCTGTACAGTTCTGACTTAGCACGGCTTTCGCCCGGGTCTCGGCCCCCTTCCCCGAATAGCCGAGAGAACTCGATATCCATACAAATGAAGTCATCGCATGCGTATGTGGTACGATGTATAACAGAATGTTGAGATAGGTACTTGAGCGAATGCTATCGAATGGACCGAATTCTTCATTCTACAGGGAAAACAGTCATGTGTCGCACATGACCACTTAAGCATCCTCTCCATACCAGGCAGATCATGATTCAACAACGTGTGTGCAAGAAGTGGCAAAAGATGAAGTCACCGTGAAAAGCGAATCCAGATGAGTTTACGAGTCCAGGAAGGAGAAACCATGTCAAGTTGTGAAAGACATGATATATCATGGACATCTTGTTGAGTTCGACGTTGCTGAAGTCAGCCCGAATGCCAGTGGGGATATACTTCTCTGGAACCATGCGGGATCTCCGAGCCTCCAAAGTATACGTTAGCACCCAACCATCACCTCCATGTACCTATGACCACAGGAATAAAGGAATAACCGAGACAATGAGAACGTCTAATGGTATATGACGGATGCCCACAAAGTCTCGAATATCCTTCACTGTATCTCGCGGCAGTCTGATAAGAATGACCGCCAGCCTGACGTGAGGTCTGAGGTCGGAGTCTTCCACCTCGCATATGGACTGTTCACGGCACCCTCCGACTATCAGATCTAGATAAATCCCGAGATAGCAGAGAATGTTCGATCGTTTCCGAGCTGTGGAGAGCAAGCCTGCAAGCTTATCGGGATACATGTATTTCGTACCTAGGAGACTGCCGGTATGCTTCCTCGCCAATGAGGTGTCTTGCATTGGCTCCGTTATCCGTGTCAATACACAGCTCTGACAATCCCGAAACACATAATATGGGGGAGCTCGGGAACTTTGGCTAAACAAAACACCCTTCCTTCATATATCCTTATCTTTCTCCACTTGGATAGGCCGATCCTCCGGCTCCATAATTGGCTGAACCCCGACCCGGTCCAGATAAGGCGGGGGACCTAACTAGATAGAGACTAGTGGCTAACACGTTATGCGATGCTCTTGCTAATTGCCCATGCGTTCTGTCTGATTGCTTGGCTATTTGTCCGATAACAGAACTTGGCAGATTATGACTTCCACTCCATCCATTTAAGGAGACCTCGGGATGGATGTGGATACCTACGATTTTTAGTCATCTCCCCGAGTTTTACCTCGAATTTTAGAGTTGCCGATATTCGGGGTGTATTTTTTATTTTTTTTTATTTCTATTCTTTTAATTTTGAAATCTTTTAAATGTGAACCCTCTGTCCTTGTGAGATAGTTTAATATCTATATTCATTACATTGATTGGACATTCAATATGGACGGCCCAGATCAGATCGGCCCCGATCATACGCCCAAGCGGACAATTAGCGACAAAGTCCGATACACCGTTAAGACTTTCACTACACGGTATGGCTTCAAAAGACGCATTGTGGAGGGGCCTTGACTCACAATCAACAGAGAGGGCCTACTAGGAGACTACGACTATGGATACCTCTTTATCCCACGACTACCCTTCACGAAGCGAGCTCGCAAATCCGCCCCGTTTTTCGGTCTCGATGATCGCGTGCCAGTCGTTCTCGCATTGATTCTGGGTTTACAACATGCACTTGCAATGCTGGCTGGTGGTGAGTGCTATAGACACCTACAGAATACATATGCAAGCAAAGTCTAAGAGCATCAGTGATTTCACCACCCATCTTACTCGGCGGTTCAGGCGGTGCCAACTTTGGTGACGACCTCTACCAGTATTTGGTTTCAACTTCCTTGATTGTCTCGGGTCTGCTGAGTGTGGTTCAAATGTTCCGGTTGCATATCAAGGGAACAAAATACTATATTGGAACTGGACTACTATCAGTCGTTGGTAGGAGCTTCCCCTCCATTCTTCAAAAACCACTGCTTTTGATGCTAATCGGTTTCAAAAGGTACATCTTTCTCAACAATCACAGTCGCCCAAGGCGCGTTCTCCCAGATGTATAAATCGGGCTACTGTCCAACCCTCGAAGATGGAACCAAGCTCCCTTGTCCAAAAGGCTACGGCGCCCTCCTTGGCACCTCATGTCTCTGCTCCCTCCTCGAAATCGGCATGTCCTTCTTGAGCAGCAAGATCCTCGCCCGCGTCTTCCCCCCACTCGTCACCGGCCCAACTGTCCTCCTGATCGGTGCTTCGCTCATCAAGTCCGCAATGCAGGACTGGGCCGGTGGCGCATCGTGTGGTGTTGACCCTTCCGCCCGCGCACTGTGCCCCAGCGCCAACGCCCCGCACCCTCTGCCCTGGGGAAGTCCTGAATTCATTGGGCTGGGATTTCTGGTATTCGTGACGATCATCGTCTGCGAGCGGTGGGGTCCTCCCATTCTGAAGAGTTGCTCCGTTATTGTTGGCCTTTTGGTTGGCTCGATCGTCGCTGCCGCGTGCAACTACTTCGATTCAACCGGTATCGCTGCTGCACCGGTGGCTTCTTTCGCTTGGGTCCACACCTTCCCGCTGTCGGTGTACCCACCGCTCATCCTGCCGTTGCTCGCGCTGTATATCGTTATCATGATGGAGTCTATTGGTGATATCACGGCGACGTGTGATGTCTCCCGGCTCCAGGTGGAGGGTGATACTTTCGATTCCCGCATCCAAGGCGGTGTTTTGGGTAACGGCATCACTTGTCTCTTGGCCGGCTTGATGACTATTAGCCCTATGTCCGTCTTCGCGCAGAACAACGGTGTGATTGCGCTGACGAAATGCGCAAACCGCACCGCCGGCTACTGCTGCTGCTTCTTCCTGGTTATCATGGGCATTTTCTCCAAGTTCGCCGCTGCGCTGGTTGCAATCCCCAGCTCCGTCCTTGGTGGTATGACCGCTTTCCTCTTCAGCTCGGTGGCAGTCAGTGGTCTGCGCATCATTGGGTCTGTCCCTCCGACCCGCCGCAACCGATTCATCCTCACGGCCAGTTTCTCGATTGGAATGGGTGTTACCCTTCTGCCAGAATGGTTCAACTACTTCTTCACCTACAAGGGTGACAACCATGCCCTTGAAGGCTTGATCAATGCTGTCGATCTGGTCATGGAGAACGGGTTCGCTATCTCTGCGCTTCTTGGTATCTTCCTTAACCTCTTTATTCCCGACGAGCCTGATGATATTCCTGCGATCTTTGAGTCGACCAACTCTGATGATGGCCCTGTACAGACCGACATTCCTGAGCAGTCGACGACAACTAAGATTGCTTGATCTTGGAGGCCTTGTATAGTTCTGTCATATATGGAGTTTGTGTGGAGCTGGCTTCGCCCTTTTTTTAGCGTTGTTTTTAATACCTATATTTGCAATTTTATGTTGATATTTCCTTGTGATATTTACTGCACTCTTTGCAAATGAGGTCTAGCAGATCCTCGGTGGATCTCACACTAGGAACCATTGCTATCTCAAGAGGAAAACCGCGACTTGACGACCGGACGAGACTGCTCATTAGCGCTAGCCGTTGCGCTATGCTCATTCCCAAACGCAAAGCAATCCTTCTCCAACTCCCCGACATCACAGTGCACAAACCCTTCCCCAACAAGTATACGCAGCACCGTGAGTATCCACACGCGACATGTAATCCCGGGAATCGAGTTAAGAGAATCATCGTAGCTCCTCATGATCTCATCCACACGCTCGTGCGCTGATGGAGGAATCGTTGCGATCTGAATCATCACGCATAGGAAATTCTCTGTGAATATCCCCGTTGTAGCCTCGTGTCCAGCAATCCATCCGCCACCGATGCCTCGTGCATAGTACTTGATCCCTCCGGGTGTGGAGCTGGTGCCTTTGTGGAGGTAGAAGGCCCAGTGGAAGTCGTTTGGGAGGGGTGGGTCGGAGCGGATGTAGAGGCTGATGTGGAGGGTGTTTGGGGGAAGTCCCGCTAGGGTCTCGGCTTGTTTCTTTTTGATGCCTGCAGACTTTTGTCTTGCTTCGGTACGGGCGCTGGGCTCGGACATTTAACATTGGATAGAGAGAGGGTTAATGAAATAAATGGAGAGGGAGGGAACTTGCCAAGGATTGACAACAAAGCTGGCTGTTACGGTGGCTACGAACAACTAGTGACTGGAGAGAAAATGCAATATAGAGCTAGAGTGTTCTGAGGTACTTGCAGTTATCACGTATTTTTGGTTAAGATCCTTTTGTGCGTCCCTCTGCCCCTGGGTTCATATATGTCTAACCAAAGTCCCTGTCTATATTCTCCGGCTATCCAGACCAAGGACTTCATTTCTCCTATCAAGCAACTACCTACATATTAGCGTATTCAACAGCTTAATACTGAGTTTTCTTACCAGCTTCTGTTGGTCCAAATCAATACTATCATTAATCGACTGGGGTAGATAGACAAGACCCCTCGGTGCCAATTTGAAGCCATGCTTCTCCTTCATCTCCTTCAAGGTGATCGGCTGCTGGAGCTCGCAGACAGCG